ATGACTCATAGTCAAAATCTATGTATCCCGCGAAAGACAACTCTTTCACTAACTAAACTATCTTATAGTTTCTTATTTTCCTCATACACTTAAGGATGCACTACACGGCTACCCAATGATCGAATCTTGAGTTAAACTGACAACGACTGACCACTCCCACTGAACATCAGATATTCAGGTTTATAAAGAATAAGAACATCTTCTTTTCTTTCATTTGAAACATCTTGGTTTTGATCAAATCTATAAGACTTAATAGCCTCATCAAACCTGATATTCCATGATCTAGAAGTTTGCTTCAATCCATAAATAGATCTCTACAGCTTGCAGACTTTTTGCTCTAAGCCTTTCTCTATGTAACCCTCTGGCTGATCGATATAGATGGTTTCCTCAAGATAGCCATTCAGAAAAGCTGTCTTGACATCCATCTGCCATATCTCATATTGAAAATATGTTGTTATGGCGAAGAGTATCCGGATGAACTTAAGCATGGCTACCGGCGAGAGAGTTTTCTCATAGTCAACTCCCTCTCTCTGGGTGTAACCCTAAACCACTAGCCTTGCTTTATAAGTCTCTACTTTTCCATCCGCTCATCTTCTTCTCTTGAAGATCCACTTGCATCCAATGAGTTTTACCCGTTTAGGTAGATCTACAAGTTGCCAGACTGAGTTAGAGTACATGGACTCTATCTCAAGTTTCATAGCTGCTTGCCACTTTTTCTTATCAAAATCATCCATCGTAGCCTTAAAGGTCAACGGATCCTCCTTACCATCATTAGCAGTGGCGATCTGTGCTTCCTCAGTATACTGGTCAGGTAACTTGCTTACCCTCCCACTACGATGAGGTGCCACAAGAGTTTGATTAGGAATCGTGGTCATTCTTAGCGTTCCAACAACTCTTGTCGGTTGTGGTCCAATCTTATTGGAAAGTAACTTTTCCAGAACTGCTTTGTTTCTAACTATCATATAGTCATGCTCCAGAAATGTGCCATTTGTCGATACAAATACTTTTGATTCTTATGACTATATAAAATAATCATTCTCTTGTCCCTATTGCATATCCTACAAACATGCATATTTATGATATTGGTTCCAACTTTCCAGTCTATTGTTTCATCACATGAGCCGGACACCCCCATATGCGAATATGCTTTAAAACT